GGGTGTCTTAAAATGCATAAAGGTGGATAAATTGATGCTGCTTGGCCTGCTGTGTTCATCCAGCCCTGCACCTTGTTGTCTTAATTCCCAGGACTTGATCAGATGTATTCCAGAACTTTGTGGGAAGCTAGGGAAGTGATTGCTGGGCTGCTTACTGAAATATTTGTATCACTGATAGCTATGGGTGAGGTGCGAGAAGACTGGAGGTTGGCTAACATGATGCCATTATTTAAGAAAGGTGGTAAGGAAAAGCCAGGGAATTATAGACCAGTGAGCCTGGCATCAGTGGTGGGTAGGTTGTTGGAGGAGATTCTGAGGGACAGGATTTACATGTATTTGGAAAGGCAAGGACTGATTAGGGATAGTCAACATGGCTTTGTGCATGGGAAATCATGTCTCACTAACTTGAGTTTTTTGAAGAAATGATGAAGAAGATGGTTGAAGAGCAATGGACTTCGTCTCTATGAACGTCGGCAAAGCATTTGACAAGGTTCTGCATGGTAGACTGGTTAGCAAGTTTAGATCACATGGAATCCAAGGAAAGCTAGCCATTCAGATACAAAATTGACTCAAACGTAGGAGACAGAGGGTGGTGGTGGAGCATTGCTTTTCAGATTGGAGGCATGTGATCAGCGGTGTGCCATGAGGATGGATGCTGGGTCCACTGCTTTTTGTCATTTATATAAATGATTTGGATGTGAATATGGGAGGTATGGTTGTAAGCTTGCAGATGACACCAAAATTGATGGTGTAGTGGTCAGCAAAGAAGGTCACCTCAGCGTACAACGGGACCTTGACCAGATGCAGAAATGGGTGGAGTGGCAGGTGGAGTTTAATTTAGATAAGTGTGAGATGCTGCATTTTGATAAGGCAAATTAGGACAGGACTTACACACGTCATGATAAGGTGCTGGGGAGAGTTGCCAAACAAATAGACCTCGGAGTGCAGGTTCATAATTCCTTGAAAGCAGAGTCACAGGTGGACAGGGTAGTGAAGAAGGCGTTTGGTACGCTTGCCTTTACTGGTCAGTGCATTGAGGATAGGAGTTGGGAGGTCGTGTTGCAGCTGAACAGGACATTGGTTAGGCCACTTTTGGAGTCCTGCAGTTTTGGTCTCCCTGCTATAGGGAAAGATGTGAAACTTGAAAGGGTTCAGATAATACTTGTAAGTATTTTGCCAGGGTTGGAGGATTTGAGCTATAGGGAGAGGCTGAATAGGCAGGGGTTTTTTTCCCTGGAGCGTCAAAGGCTAAGGCGTGACCTTATAGATGTTTATAAAATCATGAGGGCATGGTTAAGGTGAATAGTCAAGGTCTTTACCCAGGGTGGGGAGACCAAAACTGGAGGGCATAGATTTAAGATGAGAGGGGAAAGATTTAAAAGGGATTCAAGGGGCAACGTTTTCATGCAGAGAGTGTTGCATGTATGGAATGAGCTATTGGAGGAGGTGGTGGAGGCTGGTATAATAACAACATTAAAAGGCATTTGGATGGGTATATGAATGGCAAAGTTTAGAGGGATATGGGCAAAATGCTGGCAAATGGTTCTAGATCAGTTTAGGATATCTAGTCGGCATGGACGAGTTGGACTGAAGGGTCTGTTTCCATGCTGTACAGCTCTATGACTGTGATTCATGCATGTTCTTAAAAATCAGACGTCTACATACGGTGGGATACGGTTAAGTGTCAGGAAAATGGAATCTGTTTGAGCTGAGTTCAAATGGCTCTGCTGGCTTAGGTTTGTCTCATGTGAATCATTCTCTGACTCGTTTACCCTGCTCGTGAAAATGGGATCTGTCAAAAATGGGACTGGAGCTTCTAGTTCTGTATTGCTGGCATCGTTTTGGTTAAGGCACAGAGTCACAACGAGGCAGCAAAAGAATCGGGGCCCTATGGCTGGTTTTTCCCAAAAGTTGGCAATGTGTTAGATTCAGCAAGTTAGTTGGAGGGTTTCCTTTCATTAACCCTAGTGAATGTTCTCATGCAATTTGCACTGCTCACCTCATTAAGTGTGCACCACACCTCTAGCGTATCAGTCTCGTGCCATCTTGTACACAGCCACGGTGAAATGCTAGCCAGTAGTGGGACCTTCACACGTTCACTCTGCAGGCATCATTTTAAACCCCAGCTGCATGCCTCATTCCTCATTAAATACTGCCAGCCTGGTCTGAAGACCCCTCCCAATTCAGCGCAGTATCCATTATCTGGAGGAACACACAGCAGTGTTGCATGAAGGTTAATGATCTTCTCCACTTCACAACGGTAAGTGACCTTTCTCTGCTGCTTCATATTCACTCAACTCTTCCATTGCTCATGGTTTATCATTGTTAACATTTCAGTAGCATCTTCCCTCATGGCTCTCGGACACAACAACCTCATTAAATAACTAACCCTACCTATCTTCTGTGGTTGCAGTTCACTTACTCAAACACCTCACCGCTATTCCTGACTGATGAAAGACGAGTCACCTAAATGACCAGAAGCCCCGTTGACTGTTTGTTGCCACGAAACATGACAAGCTGCCTGGCTAAAATGCACAGCAATGCAAATAATGACTTATTTGGCCACTTACACAATGACCATCCTATCAAGGATAGTGGGAGGGTGGGCATTGCTGCAGTGATATCAGGCCTTCAGTTCCACAAGCAGAAGCTCCTGTTGTTGAAACAGGTTGGAGACCATGAGGGTGTCCTCGCTAACAAACACAGTAGGGCTGTCTTGAAAACTTCTGAAGCTAGTAGAGAGATTGGGATGAAGGGAAACTGCTGTGTAAGTTGGACATGATCATGATTGTGGTCTTCCATCCAGTAATCCCATCACATGGCATGGAGGATCTGGTTGGATGCTCTGCTCAGTTTTCGACTAGGACCCTAACTCCAGGGACCTGGTGTTGGGCCTTCTTGTTATGGGAATGTTCCAGCAATGCTGTTCATTGTTGTGCCGCTCATAATGGGGCCTTACTTACCTTAATTAACAGCTTGCCTCATGCAGAGTGCAGCCAATCCTGTTATTAGCCTGTCCCTGGAAAATGATGAGGGCTTATATGGTGAGGTGTAGTATCCCGACCTCTAAGCCAAGAGGCCTGGGTTTGAGTTCTACCTGCTCCAGAGTTGTCATAACATACCCGGACAGGTCGATTTTAAGAAAAGTATCCTGGGAAGAGTCTCCAACATTGGAAATGCTTTTGGGGCTTGTTCTTTCCAGTGAAGGGAGCAATTGCTTTCTTTAGCAGTATCAAGCTTATTATCTTACATGAAGCTTGAAATATCCGTCATATGAAAACTACAAATTTCAACCCCAGCTAGCTAATATAATTAAACATCTTTAAATAATATACAACATGTTATACAGTAGAATTGGAATGCAACATTTGATTTCAATTATGAGGGAGACATGAACAATGAATCTGTTCCGCACCTTGGTATTTCTGCAATCTTATCACCTGAAAAGTTGCAAGTAATAATTTATCACTCGCATCATAACTTAGAAATAGATCAGAGACCCATAGTTTCTGATTGTGTGTTCTGCTTATAATTATCAGATAAGCATCATCGTAATTTTAAAACTGTATTTTAAAGATCAACCCTCCACAATGCCATCTGGTCTCGGTGGTGATGTCAAGTCAATGAAGTATATTTTTTTCAGAGGTGATAACATTTTCAAAAATTGAATGGCTACAGGAAGTGCCAGTCAAAGAGCATAGAAAGAGCCCTAATCCAAACCAGAGGAGAGTTAAACAGCATATTATCAGCAGGCACATAAAAACTGCTCAGCTACACCAGACGTAAATACTGTGAACAAGATGATGAGCTGTGAAAGCTTCTTGCATGCACCTTGTGTTCATAGATCCAAGGCAGAGAAATTGCAGTACTTTAGTAAAAAAAAACAGATGGCAATGCTCCTCTGATGCTATGATAATGAACGAGAATTTGTAGACATGTACAAAACTCGAAATACCCCATATTCCCATGCATCGTGACAGGAACCCAGTCAATACTTACAGGATTTCGCACGTCACCCCCATCGTTTCACTAAGATTGATTTGAAGTCTTCGGATTCCTCAATCTCTGTTGGGGAGGTCTACATTAGAGATAAAAGATCTATAACCTGGGAGATCCTCAGATACAACATGTTCATCACTTAATCATAGTTTGCACTTTAGAACTGTATATTGACTGTACTTGTATAATTGAAAATATAACTTAGACTAAGGAATTGCAGCTCCTGAAACAATAAGGCCATGGTACTTTTCAATCTTTTTGGTATTATCACTTGGTGCTCTGCAGAATTATGTCTGTGGAATTATCTTCCGAAATTCAGCTTTCCAACATAAAATGTGTAGTCCCTGAAGCTGATATTTCTTTCCATTTACCCTGTGTCACCTAGTTTTCATTGACCTCCAAAAATGTTTGAGCAACTTGCAACAATAAAAGCAATAATTGAATAGTAATATCTACCATCAAAACCTGAACTTTACTGAAGATATGCTATGCCATGTCAGCCCTATTTCCCATCTATCAAAACAATGAATTTTCAGAAACTCCAGATCTCAAATAGTTTCAACTTTAGCATGAGAAAGATATTGTTGAAATGAAGCCACTTGCCACCTATGAGATAGCATTTTGGCTTTTAACAGGTTAAATCAATAAAGAAAACATATTTGTTTGCTTTCCAATCTGCCATTATCTCAGGAATTTCATTTTTATGAAAAGTTCCAAATTCTGTGTAGACCCACATTCCGGAGCATGCTTTCAAAATAACACACCACATTTGTTGAACCCTATGTAGGCCTCCACCCTCATATTTGAATTATGCAGTTAAGAATATTATTTTATGACTTTTACACAGTGTGACCTTTGGTAGGGTCCTTTGATGTGCAAATTTATACGTAATTTGGGTAGCACTGATTGTTAGCAAAGCCAGTCATTCATAGTAAAGAAGCCTTTTTTTCAAATAAACTGCTAAACATTTTAAATATAAATATGATTTTAGTATGTCTGTGTAAATACTTGCTACACGTAAAAGTTATATTTAGATTTGTTTTTGTCATAAGTTTAATTGATTCAGAGTGTGTGTTATTTTACTTTTTGCACTTAGGAAGTATGCCAGTTCCTTGCTACAGGATGTAATGACACAGGAGTTGCCTTTCTTTTCAGAGTGCAGCCGCAGCTCCCAGTCCAGTGCTAGGAAACATTCCCCCAGGAGACGGAATGCCAGTAGGCCCGGTACCACCGGGATTCTTTCAGGTAATAAGAGACTTAAGCAATAGGAAAAGGCTTTCAAATGGCTAAATGATTTCCAGATAAGAATGACACCTATGCTGAATCCCTCTAAATTATCAGTGAAAAATATAATGCACTTGAAGTAGATGGTGGACTCTGAACAAGGATTACATGTGTCAATCTACATGGGTTTTTATAAAGTTTAAATTTAATCTCAACCACATTGAATCATTCATCTCAATTTGCTGACTATCACCTTTTTATATGTATTTTTGTTTGTTTAAGGAGCTACTCCATAATTCGGGGACTTAATGGTAGAATTTCTGATGTTACAACAGTAAACAAACACATCTTTTCAAACCAGCATTCTGCTTTACTACCCTGTTAGTGCTGCCAGTTTGCATACAAGCACATCGATTAGATTGCAAGCAGAAATTCCTGCCCATTTGTAACTGAATCTCAGTGGAATGGTGATGGGCATTATTTGCCTTCTTGTTGGCATCTGTCACTGACTGAGCTGGAGTAAAAATTTCGTGTTTAATTTGTTAATCATTCACAGAATGAAAAACTAATTCAAAAACAATAAACTCAGAGGTTAATGAAAGCACATTATACTTGTACTTTCAAAAAATACAAGAAATTGTCCTGAGTGTTTGAACCATGTGAACCAGGAAGGGTCCGGCTTCAATCTCTGGCATATGCTCACTGACCTATAGTCTTTACACTACAGCATTGCGACTGAATTTTTAAAAAAAATCAGCCCTGGTTCCCATTCCTTGTTATTATGTAGTGACGCACTCTGGGAGTGCAAATAAGGGCATTAGATGAGGACAGGATCACACTCGGCTATGTTCCCTCCCTTCTGATTAAAAAGCATGTTCACATTGTGTACTGTTACATGAGCAATGCTTGTTTACTTGATGAATTAGACAGGTGCTACCACCATGGAGCTGTATTCCAGTGAGAACATCAGTCTTCAGAAGATGATGAAAGAAATTAGTCAAAAAACACAACTGTGTTTTTCTGTGTAATGTAGCAATAGAGTTTCCCTTAGTGCACCCAGTAGTGACAATGGTTCACCCAGTCTATTTTGAATACCAGACTTCATTAGTATAGGATGACTGGGATTCAGGCAGAAAGGAATATTCTGGGGAAACCCACTTTCCCAAAGTTACTACATCCTGTGTTGCAGGGCTGCCTCTAGGAATGAAGAAAAATAAGTCTAAGGAAGTGGGTAATGGTGAGGTTGGGCTTGGGGGAGGGATGAAGGTTTCTCCTGTTATTCCTGCTTTACAGAATAAGTTAAACTTGCCTTCTGGCCACCTCTTCAGATGATCACATATGGCTTATAACAAGGTTTTGAAATCTCCAATACTGTTGAACGAAGGAAAATTTAAGGGATGAAGCATTCTCCAGAATAATAATCTCTGGAAACGTGCCTGGAATTCTTCATGAAACAAGCTAACATAGCATAGCACATATTTAGCTTGGCATGTCTTTTCATTATCTGAATCTTCTTGGAAACCATGTATCATGTTCTCTGTTTTAAAAAGTCAAGCACCAAGTATGTGCAACTACAACAATGAAAGTCTATGTTGTATTTATTTGTTCATAGGATTGGCATCACTACTAGGCTAGCAATTATTGCCCATCCCTAATTGCCCAGAGGACAGTTAAGAATCAGCCAAATTTCTGTAGATCTGGAGGTATATGTAGGCCAAACCAGGTAAGGATGGCAGATTTCCTTCCCTACAGGACATTAATGAACAAGATGGGTTGCTACACTGGTTACATTAGGTCAGATTTTTGGCGCTAATGTTTTTAATTCAGTTCAAATTTCACCATTTGTCACGATAGGATTTGAGTTCATGTCCCCCGAATATTAGCCTGGTGTTCTGGATTACTAGTCCCAAGAAATTACCACGACACCACTGCCTCTCCTGTAAAAGTAATAAAATGTAAAAATAAATGAAATAAAATTTTAGACTACAAATTTCTAGCCATGAATTGATCCAAGGGAAATCATCTTAGCACAATATTTATCGATGGTACAGAGATGCTATGTGTGAAGGTTTGTAAATTATGATCTTGGATCTTTCTCAGTATTTCATAATGCTCTTTCAGTTTCATCATCTATTGTTTGTCTGGTTTACTGGCTGTCCAAAGAGTTTTGTGGCAAATAGCATCTCCAGAAAACAATCCATCAAATACTTTTTTTGTTCAGCAAAATCCACCAGTGTCGATACTAATCATTCACACTGATTATGTAGTGCTTTAATGTAATTAATTTGTAAAAAAGAAAACTGAAAGTTGCTTGGTAGTTAGAGCTTGAGTGTTGCTGAAAAAGAGAGATAGTAGTGATGCTTTTCTTCTCGGTTTCAATCACAACAGGAGGACAGCTGTTCTGTAATGCATTCCCCATTACAGTGCCTTAACCAATCAGAGTTTGAATTTAAACAAAGCTCAGAGATAATTATTGCATTGTGTGTTCTCCATAGCAACACCTTAATTGATCAGCACTTTGCTCTCAGGCAGTATTAATTGTTGCTCCCTATAAAATTTGTTATTCTTGCATCTGTCCTGATGAGACAGGACAAAAAGCTTCATGAGCATGTTTCTATTTTTTTCCAGCAATAACTTGTATCAAAACAGACGAGTGGAGTTTTTTACACTTTTGATACGAAAGTAAAAAAGGACAGGATAATTCACATTTTTAATTGTTAAAATGTACAGTGTGCAACAAATTTCATTCAGGCTTAATGTATTATATAAATTAAAAATGTTCAGAATTTGACAGACGGCCTGTTTTATTTTCAGCCTTAACATACATAGTATGTATTGCAGGGCAGGATGACCTGCACTGAATAAGACACGCGCCCCCCCCCACCCCCCCCCCCCCCCCCCCCCCCCCAAGGGTTTATGCTAAGAGCTGCCCGAGTCAGCTCATGCACCAGAATATGCTAAATCACCTACCTACGCATGCGCTGACTCTAGATTTCCAGCTAAAACCAGCAGGAGGTTCTTATTCAACACAGTCTGATGCAAAAGGTCTTGTTTCATAACCTGAAACATCAGTATAGAGTAAAAGCAAGAGATTTTGGTTTGAGGTGCAGGTCAAATTAGATAAATTATTAGCATTTATACTTGTAAATTTGATACTATTCCATAGTTTTGCAGAAAAAAGGTACAACCTATGCCTAATTTATATGTGACTGTGATTTCTTTCACACCCCATCTTCAGACCCTTGCATCATCTTGAAATTCTCAAACCACAAGCATCGTTAACAGCATTAAACACTTTTACTAATTCACCTCCGTTTGTATTTTATGTTCTTGTATTTGGTAATTATTAAAACAATAATTACGCTTTGAAAATCTGCAATCAGCAGTCAATATAATTTTGATATACTTTAAAACAATTCTCATGTAGAATAGGTTAATATTTACATCCACTGCTTCACATAGTAAAATGTAGATTGTGTTTGGATCTGGCTCCTTGTTAGCTCAGTGGAGTATTGTTGCCTCCTAGTGGACGATGATCTTCCATTTAGTGTACACACGAAAACTAATAGAACAGTTGATGTGATTGTGATATTCAACTTAATTTTTTTATCAAGTCAAGTAAATATCATCAAATAATGCACATTGACTTAAACTTCCTTCATCTCGTTTATATGACCAGATGTTAAGCACACTATCTTGGATATCGAATTTAATGTATTTAATATTATAAATTAACATTTATATTTTGGCACCGCCCTGGCCGTGAATGCTTGGGTATCCGTTTCACCTACAGAACACAACAGTCATTTATACATGATATATATGCAAAAATTTGCATGTAATTATTTTGTTTGCTGTGCACTCTTGAACATGTTTTGAATAAAAGTAGCAATTATCTTGCTCACGGTCGTACTGGATTCCCTCCCTTTGTTAAGGTACCTTGTACGAACCATTATTTTCCAGCTAAAAAGGTGAAAAAAGCTACTTTTTATGAAGTGCAACTCCAGAATTTGCATGACTCAAAACTTGGAAGTACTGTACCGTGAACTGGGAGAGTGATAAACAGTAAGACAATAATAAACTTCCAGTGGATATAAACAGTTGTGTAATAGTTGGACAAGCAGCAGAACAAATTTAATTTGGAGGAGTGTGATGTGATTCTTTTATGCAGAAAGAACCAGGAGAGACAGCATAAAATTAAGGGCACAACTTTAAACCGAATGCAGGAGCACAGAACTGTATGTGTATAAATGATTGAAGATGACAGGGCCTGTTAAGGAAGTGGTTAATAAAGTATACAGGATTCTGGACCTTATAAAGAAAGGCATAAATTACAAAGGCACAGATGTTGTGATAAACCTGTATAAAGCTTCGACTGCGTATTATGCCTTTTTCTGGTCACCATGCTTTATGGAGAAGGCATTAGAGAAATTAGAGAAAAGACTCACATAAATGGTTTCAAGGATAAGGAACTTCACTTAACGTTGATAGTTTGGAGAAACTGGAGCTATTCTCTTTGGAAAGAGAAGATTAGAAGGCAACTTATCAGAAGTTCAAAAACATTAGGGTTTTGGCAGAGTAGATAGTGGGCAATTTTACTCGTTTGCAGATGTGTCAAATATCATAGGACAACCCATTTAAAATAATTGACTAAAGAAGCAAGGAAGCACCTTTTGTCCAGGGAGTGATTTGGATGTCAAATGCACTGCTGGAGGATGGGTTGGAGACACATTAAATCAAGGCCTTCAAAAGAGAGTTGGATAATGATCTAAAGAGAAAAGGAAATCTGTGTGGCTTTGAGGAAAATGAATTGGAGTAAGACCATGTGAATTATTTTTGCAGAGAGCCAGTAGAGACAGATTGGCTTCCTCTGTTGTAACCAAATCTATGATTCTTTGAAAGCAATAGTAAGAATATGGATATGAGTGATAGAGGATAACAACCTAGAACTTTCCCTCTTTACCTTTGAGAAAATACTAAATTTTGATTTAAATCTTTACTGGTCATTCAAGAGAAATCTAGAATTTTTCATTGTAAGAAATATTGGATTATAAATTGATGCCCTCTCATTTTCAAATAGGGTTTTGGAACATCTGCATGTCACTGAGTGCTGCATTGGAACCTTATCTGTGATACCCTATTTAACAAATACAAACAATAATCAGCATTTAATGCATCCCTACTTGAATGCAATGAAAGATTATTTATTTTTATTCACTTGCCTTGCATGACCTATCTATTTTCAATGTTATAGGAATGGTATTGTGATGGATTTTGAAAAGTGTGTGTTGCAATGCTGATTAAAAGTTCCATGAAATAGGGTGAAAGTTAACGGAAAGGTCTAGCACTTCTTTTTGCCATGCCTGAAAGAATAAGTATAGGCTTCCAGGTGTTAAAAATTGATAGCATCACCCTTAAGTAGTTTGGCCTGTCAATCAAACAGCACCCATGGGTGAGCAAGAAAACTGTAGCTGCCAACTGAGTGTGGAGCAATTGGGCATTTTGCAAGAAGCTTAAAAGGATGTTTGATAGATATCCCAACTAGAAAAATTGTATGATTACGAGAAACATTAGGCACTGCATTGAATGAATGTTCAGATGTAATGAATGTTTGGCAAACCAAACTGGTATTCATTAAAAATGGGGTTGACCATAATTTGATTGTAAAACAACAGAATAGTTAAAAGATTTAGTAGCAATTGTTATCTGCCGCAATATGTAGTTTAGTTTGATTTATTTAATTGAACAGAAATATGTTTAGACCTTGCTGTTTACGTGTTATCCCATTAAGGATTATTTTTGTCCTCATCATTTGTTTCCTGTAATTTGTGGATTATTCCATGAGTGACAGAATGGGCTGGAAGAACTGTTTGTATCCCTTATTCCTTTATGTAGCTTGGGGAGTCATAATGGTTGATTTTGAGTGGGTTACCCTGGTAATCTAGCTGTGATCTGAAATTTGTTATTTGGAAATCACGCCCAGTGAAACCATGTCCTGTTATTCATCAGATACAATAGTGCTAATAAACTGCACGTAATTATGTGATAGTTTAATTTAGTTGAGAATAATTTTAGAGCAGCACACTCTCGATTCCTGCTGATCTGATGCTACACTGAGGTTATTTAAGTTTAGACTAGTTGTCAAGTTAATCATTAAGCTTAAAGGCTATGTCACTTCCAAAACATTGTCTACCAGCCAAACTTGACTCGTTTTCCAATGAGAAGTTGATCAGCAGTCAGTGTGCTTCAAAGTGGATTCCATTTTTCCCTTCCCCAATGAATTGAACTTCAGTGCTTCATATTAAAACAATGATGATCACCATATTTGTATTTCTACAATAGCTCTAATGCACATAAATAGGAAACATTGCAATAGACAATTTTAGTGTGAAAAATCATTTTGAGCACTCCTGATTTGTAAGTCTGTCATGAAGAATGTAATGTAGAATAACTCCATATCACCAGTGAGCCATTGATATTTAAACATTTTTTCTAAATAATTTTATTGCACAAAATTGTTTCTGTGAAAGATTAGCCCCATTAATTAGGAACCATTTAGAAAGAAATTAAGTTGTGTTATGGCCAAGAATGAGAAGTGATGCAAACTTCAGCAAATTTTATTTATCCTCTAATTGTTATTCACAGTGTGGTCTGTTCACAACACCCGTGGGGCACATCTTTAAGTTTTCACAATTTCTTTTAGGAATTTGATGATATCGTCTTTGGTTTCTGCCCAATGACATATTTCTACTACAGTCCAGAAAAGCAGGAACACATATTGGCAGAGATTTAGTTGTTTACTCTAATGTAACTTAACTGCTCAAGAATAAAAAGGTTTTAAAAAAGTTAAGAAATTTTCAATTTGAGAAACTCTTAACATAGCTGGTCAATTTTGTTAAAGGTTATGCTGCTGGCTAATTTATGTTTGCAATTATCTCTAGGGACCACCAGGTTCACAGCCCTCGCCACATGCACAGCCTCCACCACACAACCCCAGCAATCCCATGATGGGACCTCACAGCCAGGTAGGAAGACACAAGTAGCTAATCAGCACAAACAAACCAAGGTTATTTGAGCACTAGCTCTGATAGCACTTATACTCGGTCTTATTGTTTGATAATTCATCACTACCAACACTGTTTTGATTTGGCAATTTTTTTCTTTTCATTTGAAACATTGGTTTATGTTTATTGATATTCATGTTAATGATTGTTTGGTGAGAAATTTTCATTTTCTCACTGGCACAGACTTATATATTTCCTGCATAACATCATGTATGCTACTTAAGGTTAGCTTAGCAGATACACTGACTTAAATATATCTGGGCTGTACCCCGTTGGCAGATAAATCAATTGCTTGATCTATTTTTCAATGTGAAGCATTCTAACAAGTATGATTTTAATTCAGCATTAGCAAGTAATGTTTCTTAACATTAACACAGCCTACTAAACATTGAGCTTTGGTAAAAAGTGATGATTTATAATTAGGAAATTATAATTAGTATGCTGGTATTTCACAGCAACATTCAGAAAATGTCAAAACATTATCAAAAAAGTCCACTTAATCACAACCTGTTAGGTGTTCAATGAAGATGAAATCTGTGCCACTAGTAAACTCTTTATCATAACAAATTATTGCAGAAAAGAACAAAGAAGTTAACAGCATGCTGGTCTTGAAAATGTTTGCATTTATTTAATGGAAAATGAAACATTGGCAGCTTTTTATTTACCTCTCCATTTACATATCCCATCCCTACCCACAACCAATTTATCATTGATCTGAGAAAACAGTTGGCAGCCGTTAATTTGGTTTGAGTTCGATTGTATTTGGTTCTAATCTTGGATGACCTTAGAGTGCTGATGGTGAGGAAATTGGTTTGTTTGAGGGTGTGCTGTGCTAAAATGTATTTTATCTATGTTCCTGAAAGGTCACCTTTAAGTTTTCAAAATATTTGTGATTTTATGTTTGTAAATGTTGGTTCAGATTTAGATACAATAGTTTCAAAAACATAGTCCTCTGAAAGGTCTTTTAATCTGGAATTTTAATGTTAAATCAATGTTCAGTATGGAACAGGCCATTTTCTTTTTTGTATCTTTAATGTACAAGCATTTTCGTGTGTCAGTTTTAAAGTGCTGACTGCATAAGTAGAATGCAATTTCAGGAATACTACTGTTTATTTGTCATTGTTACAGGCAAACATCCATAGGCGTATTCTCAGCTACTGTACAATATCCATTACAGATTTGTATTATTCGAGACTGCTACTTTCCTAATTAATGAATAAAAGCTAAAAAAATGTATATTTTTGATCAGTTGCCAATTAGTTAAATTTATATGGAGAGGTTAAGCAGCCTAATTAAATTCTTCTTAAAATGAAATGTTCCTTTTGATACTGATTTTATTAACATTAGCTGTTATTTGTGACAATGACTTGTTAAAAATAATCAGAAACCTGGAAAAGTGTGTGGTTTTCAGGAACAGTACAGTGAAACAAACTGCTTTAGCATTTGCAGTTAAGTATTTAGAACTGGCAAATTCTAAATATTTTATATATGCGCCAGGGTTGGAGAGTTATAAGGAGAGGCTGAATAGGCTGGGGCTATTTTCCCGGAGCGTCAGAGACTGAGGGAGGACCTTTAGAGGGTTATAAAATCATGAGGGACATAGATAAGGTAAATAGACATGGTCTTTTCCCTGGGGTGGGCAGTGTTCAAAATTAGAGGGCATAAGGTGAGAGGGTAAAGATTTTAATACAGACCTAACGGGGCAACTTTTTCACTCAGAGGGTGTTGCATGTATGGAATGAGCTCCCAGAGGAAGTGGTGGAGTCTGGTATAATTACAACATTTAAAAGGCATCTGGATGAGTACATAAATAGGAAGGGTTTAGAAGGATATGGGCCAAATGCTGGCAGATGGGACGAGGTTTATTAGGATGTCTGATCAGCATGGACGAGGTGGACCGAAGAGTCTGTCTTCATGTTGTACATCTCTGTGACTCTGAAATATTATATTTGATCCTGTGACAGAACATATTAGTGGGCCATCCTACTTACACTCACTTTTATGGCCCAGAATGTGGGAAATTGAACAACACAGAATGGGAATTATCAGTATGAATTGGCATCTTGATGTCACCAAGCTTATTGATTTGCCTCAGAGATAGTAGGAACTGCAGATGCTGGAGAATCTGAGATAACAAGGTGTAGAGCTGGATGAACACAGCAGGCTAACCAGCATCAGAGGAGCAGGAAAGCTGACGTTTCGGGCCTAGACCCTTCTTCAGAAAGGATCTAGCCCGAAACGTCAGCTTTCATGCTCCTCTGATGCTGCTTGGCCTGCTATGTTCATCCAGCTCTACACCTTGTTATCTCATTATTGATTTGCCTTTCCTGTTCACTTTTTCCAATCATTACAGGTTGCAAGTGCTTTAAAAATGCAAAGATACCACACTAGGCAGTGAATATGGAATGTTGATTTCGTACCACACTGTTACTACAATTGATGCAGTATACTATATCCAGGCTTTGAATGTTTTGTAGAAAGTAACATGCAAGTCACACAACTGTCAAACAATGGCCATCTCCAATAAGAGAGAACCTAACTGTCTTTCCATGACATTCAGTAGAATTAACATTGTTGGACCATTTCACATCAGCATTCTGGGGGTTTTCTTTGAAACTAAAATTCCATTTAAATACTGTGAATATTATGACAGGGTCAGAGCTTGGGATTCTGCAGTGAGCAACTCATTTCCTGCTGCCCCAAGGCCTATTTGCTACCTACAAGGCACAAGCAAAAATACTTCTCAGTAAGGAGGAAAGATTCTAAGAGAGGGCTGAAACAACCAAGGCTAACCGAGGAAGTTAAGGAGAGTATTAAGTTGAATGAAAAAAGACATATATAACAAAGTCAAAGTCAGTGGTAGCCCTAAAGACTGGGATAATTTCAGGATCCAAGAAAGGAAGACTGAAAAGATAATAAAGACAGGGAAAATAAACTACAAGGGCAAAATAGTGAGGAATATAAAAACTGATAGTAAGAACGTTTTAAATATATAAAAAGGAAGAGAGAGGTCAAAGTGGACATAGCTTCTCAGAAAACAAATCTGAGGAGACAGTTTTGGGAACAAGTAAATAGCAGAGAATTTAAACGCATGTTTTGAATCAGTCTTTATGTTGGAAGACACTTCGAACATCCCATTAATGTGAAAAACATGGGGGAGAATTTAAGTACTACCACCGTTACGAGAGTAGTAGTATGGATTAAATGCAGATAAGTGCCTGGCCCTGATGGCTTGCATCCTAGCATCATAAAAGAGGTAGCAAATGCATTGGTTGTAATTTGCCAAAGATCATTGAATTCTGGAGAATTGCTAGAGGGTTGGAAAACTACAAATGCGACAGACCTATTCAAACAGGGCGGGAGGCAAAAAGCAGATAACCATAGGCTGATTAGCCTAATATCTATTGCTAGAAAAACATTGGAATCAATGATGAAGGAAGTAATAGCAAAACACTTGGAAAATTATAACCTAAACAAATAGAGTCAGCATGGCTTCATGAAAGGGAAATCATATGGAACTAATTTATTAGAGTTTTTCGAGGAAGTCTCAATCAGAGTGGATAGCGGGGAATCAGTAGATATGGACTTCCAGAAGGTGTTCAACAAGATAACTCACATTAAATTTAAGTCATAAGATAAGAGTCCACAAGTAGTATTTTGGCATGAATAGAGAATCGGCTAATGGCAGGAAACAGTGAGTGGGGATAAGGAGGTCTTTTCAGATTGGTGACCTGTGACCAGTGAGGTTCCACAGGGATCAGTGCTGGGACTACAACTGTTCACAATATAAATGACTTGGAGGAAGGAAATGAATGTACTGTAGCCAAGTTTGCAGACAACACAAAAATGAGTAGAAAGGCAGGTTACAAGAGAGATATAAATAGTTTACAGAAAGATGTTGATGGCTTAAGTAAGTGAGCACAAAGTTTACAAATGGAGTATACCGTGGGAAAATATGAAGTTCTTCATTTTGGAAGAGGGAGCAAAAGGACAGAATATTATTTTTGAAATGTAGAAAAAACTGTTGAAAGCTGCAACACAAAGGGTCTTAGGGGTACTTGTGCACAAATTACTCAAAGCTAGTACTCACATGCAGCAGGTAATCAGGAAGACTATTAGAATGTTGCTCTTTATTTCAAGAGAGTTGGAGTATGAGAGTATGGAAGTCTTACTGCAACTATACAATGTGCTGGACCACATCTGGAGTACTGTGACCAGACTTGATCCCCTTATTTAAAGAAAGATATCATTTCATTGGAGCAGTACAGCAAATGTTCCCTGGTATGGAGGGATTATCTTATGAGCAATGGCTAAACAAGTTAGGATTCTACTCACTGGAGTTCAGAATGATGAGAGGTGATTTCATTGAAACATGTAGGATTCTCAAAGGGTTTGACATAGTAAACACTGAGAGGATGTTTCCCCTCATAGGAGAGTCTAGGACTAGAGGGAATAGTTTCAAAATGAGTAAGCACCAGTTTAAAACCGAGATAAGGTAGGATTTCTTCTCTCAGAGCGTTGAGAATCTTGAGAATTCATTGCCAGAAAGAGCAGCGGGACAGTATCCTTGTATAAATTTTAGGCTGAGATTAATTTGTGATCAGTAGGAGAATCCAGGACCATTGGCAAGAAAGTGGACGTATAGAATGTCGGATTAGCCATGATCCTATTGAATGCTGGAGCAAGTTCAAATGCCCAAATGACCTATTCCAAACGGTCTAATGGACTAAGTTACAAGGGTGATGGAATACTCTCCGCTTGCCTGAATGAGCACAGCCCCCTGCAGGACAAAGTAAGCCACTTAATTGTCACTCCATTCACCCCCTTAAACATTGGGTGGCATGGTGGCGCAGCAGTTAGTGCTGCTGCCTCACAGCGCCAGGGACCTGGGTTCGATTCCACTCTCGGGTGACTGTCTGCGTGGAGTTTGCACGTTCCATTTATGAAGGGGAAATCAGGCTTGACAAATCTAGGATTTCTAGGAAGATGTACTTAAAGTTGACAAGGGGGAGCCAGTCAAGGTGGTATTTTTGGACTTTTCTGAAAGCGTTTGACAAAGTCCCGCATATGAAATTATTGTGCAAGATTAAAATGCATGGGATTGGGGCAAGTGTATTGAGAAAGATAGAAAACTGGTTGGCAGAGAGGAAACAAAGAGTAGGAATTTAATGGGTTTTCACATTGGCAGGCAGTAACCAGTGGGGTGCCACAAGGTTTGGTGCTGGGACCCCAGCTATTCACAATATATACTAATGATGTGGATGAGGGAACAAAATGTAACATCTCCAAGTTTTCAGATGATACCAAGTTGGGTGGGAAGGTGAACTGTGATGAGGATGCAGAGATTCTTCAGTATGATCTTGACAGGTTGAGTCTGTGGGCAAATCAATGGCAAGTGCATTATAATTTGGATAACTGTGAGGTTATTCATTTTGGAAGCAAAAACAAGAAGGTAGATTACTGCCTAAATGGCTGTATATTTGGAAAGGGGAGTGGGCAGCAGGATCTGGGCGTCCTTCTGCACCAGTCGCTAAAGGTAAGCATGCAGGTGCAGCAGGTGGTAGAGAAGGCAAATGGTATGTCGGCCTTCATTGCGAGAGGTGTTGAGTACAGGAGCAGGGATGTGTTGTTGCCTTGGTGAGGCCACACCTAGAGTATCGTGAGCAGTTTTGGCCTTCTTTTCTGAGGAAGGATGCTCTTGCTCTCGAGGGAGTGCATCAAAGGTTTACCAGGCTAATTCTGGGGATGGCGGGACTGACCAATGAGGACAGAGTGACTAGGTTAGGATTGTTTTCGCTGGAGTTCAAACAAATGAGGGTGAATCTCATAGAGACTTATAAAATTCTAACAGGACTGGACAGGGTAGATGCAGGGAGGACGTTCCCGATGGTGGGTGTGTCCGGAACCAGGTGTCACAGTCTGAGGATTCAGGGTAGACCATTTAGGATGGAGATGAGGAGACATTTCTTCACCCAGTGAGTGGTGAGCCTGTGGAATTCATTGCCACGGGAAGTAGTTGATGGCAAAACATTGAATATATTCAAGATACAGCTAGATATAGCACTTAGGGCAAATGGGAGCAAAGGTTTAATCTTGCACAATAATCTCTTATGTGGCACTTTGCCAAACGCTTTCAGAAATGTCCAAAAATACCACATTGACGGGCTTCCCCTTGTCAACTCTACTAGTTACATCTTCCTAGAACTCCATTTGGAGTATGGTGCGCAGTTTTGAGCCCCATATCTCAGGAAGGATGTATTGGCCCTGGAGCAGGTTCAGAGGAGGTTCAGGAGAATGGTCCCAGGAATGAAAAACTTAACATATGAGGAACGTTTGAGTACGCTGGGACTATAATCAGTGGAGTTTAGAAGGATGAGGGGGGATCTAATTGAAGATTTCAGAATACTGAATGGCCTGGACAAAATGGATGTTGGGAAGATGCTTTCATCAGTAGGAGAGTCTCGGACCCGAGGGCACAGCCTTAGAGTAAAGGGAAGACCTTTTAGAACGGAGATAAGGAGAAACTTCTTCAGCCAGAGAGTGGTGAATCTATGGAATTCACTGCCACAGAAGGCTGTGGAGGCCAGGTCATTGAGTACATTTAAGACTGAGATAGATAGGTTCTTGATGATCAAGGGGATCAAAGGTTACGGGGAGAAAGCAGGAGAATGGGGTTGAGGAACTTATCAGCCATGATTGAATGGCAGAGCAGATTTGATGGGCCAAATGGCCTAATTTCTGCTCCTATGTCTTATGGCCTTATGGTTATGGGGAGAAAGCAGGATTAGGCTGTTGAGTTGGACGATCAGCCACAATCATGATGATTCTGGAGCAGGCTCGAAGGGCCAAATGGCTGCCTCCTGTTCCTATCTTCTATGTTTCTATTCTCCATGTCTGTGTGGGTTTCCTCCAGGTGCTCTGGTTTGTCCCACAGTCCGGAGATATGCAGGCTAGGTGGGTTAGCCATGGGAAATGCAGGGTTACAGGAATAGGGTATGGGAAGTGAATCTGGGTTGGATGGTGTAAGCTTGATGGGCCGAACAGCTTGCTTCTACCCTGTAGGGATTCTATGATTCACATGCTCCACCACCAATGCACAATGGAGGCAGTGTGCACTGTATACAAGATGCATTCTAGCAACTTAAGTCTTTGATTGTCCCTTCCGAACCCATCACCTCTATTAATTTGTACAAGACCAGCAGAAGAATGGGAGCTTAATTATCTGCAAGTTGTCCTCCAAACCACACAATATCCTAACTTGGAAGTATATTGCCACTCCTTCATCGTCACAGATTCAAAATCCTGTACCACCTTTATTAACGGCATTTCTTCTAGTTTTCCTTCCAGCTGCGTAGGCCCCCAAGGACCTTGCAAGGCAGTGACTTCTGGAACCAGAAGTCAATGCCGTCATTAACTGCAAAACCTAGGAGCAGCTGCATGCTTATATAGAGAGAACATTCCATACTAAAAGCACTGTGAGTGAACAGACATTAGGTTTCTGTAGTTCAAGAAAGTGACTCACTACCAACCTCTCAAGGGCAAATGGAGATGAGGAATAAATGCTGTTTTATCCAGTGACGCCTACATTCCGTGATTGACTTTTTTTAAAATTGGCTTCGTAATAATTAAGAGGCTAGCTTCATATTAGTTAGACCTTTGTACAGGCAGTCCCTGATTCATGAACGTCTGACTTACGAACGCTCATACTTACGAAAGACATACCATGTTAGTATTAATTTTTAAGATTCACCATGCAAACATTTGCTTAAACTTTCAAACAGTTATTTTATGCTGTACAATATTGTATTGTATTTTATTGTCTACTGACTTGAGTACAAACCAACTTAAAAATGTACTTAAAAACAGAGCCCATTCATAACCCAGGGACTGTAGTGGTGAATGTTGAATGCATGACAAGTGAATGTGTTTTCTAATAATAATGCTTCCTGCTTGTAGAAGAAAGGTAGGTCCTGTGTCACAGTGGTTAGTGACTCTAACTCTGAATCAGAACTTCCAGATTTCACTTCACCCAGGACTTGATGGCTGAGGAAGGTGCACCCAAAATGTGATCAGACAGGTTTTTATTGACCTTCCAACACATGCCAATGGCAGGTTTTTAAGAGTGGGAGAAAGCCATGGTCAGCTACGTGACAAAGAAAGTTGGAGCCTCTTCCATTACTATCAAAAACCTCTAGACTAACATATATGCATGTAAAGATGCATGTTCCCACATGTACTCTGGCTTCACCGAGTGATCTGTAATGTACCACCATTTGTGGGAGAAAATAATCTGACCAGTGATCTTTTAAAGGATGAATGCAGTTGAGTCGATGTGATGGATGTTAAGTAGATATGAGATAGTGGCCCTTTTCTCTTCCGAAGGTCATTTTTAGAGGCAAGACCCTATAACAGTAGAAAATAAAATGGAATTGGATGCTTAAAAATAAATGTGATGCAAAAGTTGAATTATCTTTGTTAAAAAGTGCATTTTTTCATTTATTTACCTGTTGCAGCCTTTCATGTCACCTCGTTATCCAGGAGGCCCCAGGCCGCCCCTCAGAATACCTAATCAGGTAAAATTATATTTGTAGTGCATGATATCAAGAAACTTCACTTTATGAAGCCTTATACTCACTGCTGTTTGCTGTATTGATTTGTTCTGTTGAAATGCCTATAATAATTATACTTTAGTTCTTTGGTTGGAGTACATTACATTGCTACATCTCAAAATAAAAAAAGGAACTGGTTTGGTTGAGAAATGTAGCCTTCTCTTTGCAGTAGCCGTTCTGATTGTTCATGAAGGTAAGTAGAAAATGATATTTGCAACAATATTCCTTCTTATTCAATACCTGATTAAGGGATGCAGTGTTGAAAAGGGGAACTGGTGGGAGGACATTGTTTTTGCAGTTGACTACCCTCCCCTCCAAGCTCACCTTGTGACCCCTTTCTGCCATCACTGACCTGTACCTACGCCTGTCTTTGAGTAAGTGTAGTACCAGCAGCAACCATAAAAAGGAGGGTAGTTGTATTTGTTGGATGTTAATCATCTCAGCCGAGGGCATCATGCAGGAATTCCTCGGGGGACTCAATCATCATCAGCTGCTTCGTCGATGACCTCCCCTTCATCATAAGGTCAGAAGTGGACGATTGCATGATGTTCAAACATTGAAGCGGTTTATGTCAAATACTGCAAGACCTGACCAACATCCAGGCTTGGACTGACAAGTAACATGCTAACTTTCTTGTTGCCCAGATATCAGGCAATGACGAAGTCCAATAGGATAGAAACTTACCACCTCCTTTCAACATGAAGTAGCACTACCATCACCGAATCCCTCAGTATCAACATATTTGGTGATTACCATTCATCAGAAATTGGATTAGACCACCCATTTTAAATACTGCGGCTGCAAGAGCAGGTCAGAAGTTAGGAGTTTTGAAGTAGGTAACTCACCTCGTATCTCTCCAATACCTATCCACTGTATACAAGGCTCAACTCAGGAGTGTGAGACTACTGTTCAATTGCCCGGATGGGTGCAGCTCCAACAGCACTCGAGAAGCTCAATACTTCAGAACAAAGCAGATTGCTTCATAAGTACCTACACCACCATTCAACATTTACATCCTTAATTACCTGGATGCACCGCAACACCACCCAAGGCTCCTTCCACACTTTCTAGATCTCTACCACCTAGAAGAATGAGGTTAGCTGTTTCTTGGGAACACCACCACCTACTTGCAAGTTCCCCTCCACGCCACATGCCATCCTGACTTGGAAACATATCGCCTGTCTATGGATCATTTTCTGGAGCTCTGTTCCTAGTAGCACTACTGCTTCTATGTCCAAGGACTGAAGCAGTTCCAAATTGCAGCTCACCACCATCTCTAAGGTAATTAAGGACAGATAATGAGCGTTGGTCAAGCCAGCAATGTCCAAATCCCATGAAAGAACAAAATATATGTAAGATGACCAGAAGTTTGTTTAAGGAGATATGTTTTTAAAAACAAATCTCAAAGATGGAAAGAGAAAAAGAAAGACCACACAGCTTAGGGAGGGAATTTCAGGATTTAGGGCCTGAAAGCTGTGATGATTAAAATCAGCAATATGCGAGAGGGTAGAATTGGAGGAGCACAGGTCTTTGCAGATTGCAGAACTGCAGGACATTATCGATACATGAAAAGACAAGGCCGTGGAGTGATTTAGAAACAAGGATTGAGAATTTTAAAATGGATGTATTGTTCAACAAGGAGTCAGTGTAGATCTGCTGGTGATTGGAGGAAGGTATAGGGGAGATGTCAGAGGTAGGTTCTTCAGAGAGTGGTGGGTGTGTGGCATGTGCTGCTGGCAGTGGTAGTGGAGTCAGATACTTTAGAGACTTTTAAGCAGTTCTTGGATAGGCACATGGAGGATAGTAAAATGTAGGGTATGCAGGGTAGATTGATCTTAGTAGGATAATAGGTCGGCACAACGTTGCGGGCTGAAGGGCCTGTACTGTGCTGTACTGTTCTATGTTCTATGTTCTGTGTTCTAAATTGGGGGTGATAAGTGAACAGGCATTTGGCGCAATTTAGGAGATAGGCGGCAGGATTTTGGATGGTTTCAAACTTAGAAGTTAACAATGCTGCAAAGCCAATCCTGCATACAGCCATTAGTATATAAATTTGCTGCCTGCCTCCCTCCCAAGAGCAAACTTTTCCAGGAAAATTTCTGAGCAGAGGGAATGCTTATGGGACCTATCTAGACTTGACTCCAATTTTCCCAGTCCCATGGATTTCAAGCGTATCATTATATTATCAGGGAAATTCAGCCCAGTGTCTTCCTAATTTTAGTTAGACAAAATTTCTGCTCATCTAGTGCCAAATGTTGTTCAGGCAGTCTGATATTTTTAAAAGACGGTGCATGATATTGAAAGTGCTGCAGTTCCTTCGTATTTATGGAGTGCTAGAAATTGGGTACAAAGTGCTGGCCCATTAAAGGGTACAACAAAGATATCACAAATGCTTTTACTACTTTCACTATATGAGTACAATAATAAATAAAAAGAGATAAAGAATTAATTTCTTAAAATATTGTGTAAACTTGTGGCACTATTCTGATACAGGGTGGTCCAGATTTATGAACGTCCAACTTACGAATGCTGATACTTATAATGGATTTCGTACAGGGTTATAATTTTAAAGATCCGACATAGGAACAGTTCCTGTACTGACGAATGGCTCCTTTACTTTTTCCAGCATTGCATTCCAACCTGTGTACAAGCTGACTTGAGCATGAACTTCAGATTGGAACCTGTTCACAGAGACTGCCTGTATTTGAGTATAAACCATTTTTGCAGGACCTTAATTTAAATACATAAAAAAACCTCTGCCAACAATCATGCCAATCCATAATATTTCAGAATTTGAGAAGATAATTGGTACATAATTTGCTGGCTAGAAAATCTGTGAAACTGGGTAGAACATCTGTTTCACATCCAACCAGGATGAAAAATTAGTGTTCCCCTGGTTCATGTCAGTTTCTTGACCAGCAAGTTATGTTCAGATTTTCCCACTTATGTTTGCTGACTATTTAGAAACTCATGTGGCAGAAATGCTCTGCAATTGGTAAAGTTGTAAAATACCAACATTTTATAGCCGTGACTGACTATGTACTTAAAGTGACTGTGCTGAAACATGGTAAGAATTCAAATGTAAAATATGCAGAATCTGTTCACTAAACTGCAAAGGATCCCCTATAGCATGGCGAAGCATGTACTACAAGCAGCCAGGGAGGGACATGGATAGTGCCAACTTGCCAGAGGTATAGAAATTGAAGATGATGGTGTCTTTGATGACAACTGGCAGCACTGTCTTTGCCTTGCTCTGTGGTTGTCGGTCCAGCTTGACGAGACAGCTCAATCCTGTGATCATTTTGTGGAAACATCGCCACAGACACTTTTAGTGTGGTTCAGTCAGGAAGGGTGCTGTTTGAGCACTCCCATTTGAGAACATACAAATTAGTAGCAGAGTAAGCCATTGAACCATTTCAGCCTGCTTCGCCATTCATGAATCATGGCTATCTGATTGTGGCCTCACTCCACTTCCTGCCTACTCCTGATACCTTAATCTGAGCAGTGTCATACGCCAACCCCAGACAAACTGCAAGTAGAAACTCCATGACTTGGTGTGTGTGACACATACCCAGAGGTCTTTCAAAACTACAATTCTCCATCCAAAGATCCAGCACTTTTCATTTGAAAGAACTTCAATCAACTCATCTGTTGACACACTATTTACCTTAACTCTACAGCAACAAAAGGAAAAGTGAAAAGCACATCATCTGCAAGTTAAATGGTACAACACTGAAGGTGCTGGGATTACAGGGGTGAATCCTGAACAACATTGAACTCTGCACGCTAAAGCATGGACATTATGGGACCAGTGAAAACTAATTGGGGTACTAAATCAGCATTGAATACTGACTTGATGTCACCTTTTATGGGCTCTGCATTTTTCTGGCCCACACGTGGGACACCTATACTACTGCCCTGAAAAACATGGTGTTCGGCAATGGCTGTGTTACAAATTATCAGAGAGATGCCTTGACAGTTTTGTATCACCCTGTTCCTGGAGTACTGACACTATTAAAGTCAAAGTTGCTGCAGACTTTGGACATTCTGTCAAAGTAAGTACCATTTCCGAAAGTGTTCTTCTGTTGTCTACATTCTTAGTGTCCCCAGTACACCCAGTAATGCAGTGATACTGTAATTGTGTACATCGGCTACACTTGAACTTGATTTCGCTGCCTTTCGCCATTTTTGATGTTTTTGCTGCATATCTTAACTAGGTTGCAAAAAGTATCAAAGAAACCCAAATGAACAATCACTTCTTGCTTACAGAATATTGGATTTGTACAGTAATCCCATGTTCCAGGTGCTAGATTTTATTAGGTGGGTGTATAGACTGGAGGTGAGATGACAACGCTGTAGAATTGCTGACTCTGTGCTCATGCCTATGCGCAGAATAGGTAGATTTGAGTGTAAGACATGTACAGGGAACAGTTATATGTATGTAATTAATCAAAGATTAAAGAGTAATTAAAACTAAGTCTAAAATTTGGTACACTAGGATTTTAATTGGACTAGAAATCACATCTCAGAATTAAAATAGATGCATTTTTAGGTGCAAACATACGAACAAACAAATGAAATGGCATGGGCCATTCAGTCCCTCAAGCCTGCTCTGTGATTCAATAAGATCATACTGATATGATTGGAACCTTGAATCCACATTTCCACCTACCCATGATAATCCATCAATCCCCTTACTTAACAATAATCTAATTTTGCTTTAAAATATCCAAAGATTCTACTTCTACCATCTTTTCTGGAGGATAGTTTCAAAGAGTCATATATATCTACAGCATAAAGACCCTTCAGCCAATCATGTCCATGCCAGTCAAAAACAGCCACCTAACTCTTCTAAGATAACAAGGTGTAGAGCTGGATGAACACAGCAGGCCAAGCAGCATCAGAGGAGCAGGAAGGCTGATGTTTCAGGCCTATTTCTGAAGAAGGGTCTAGGCCCGAAACGTCAGCCTTCCTGCTCCTCTAATACTGCTTGGCCTACTGTGTTCATCCAGCTCTACACCTTGTTATCTCAGATTCTCCAGCATCTGCAGTTCCTACTATATCTGAAACAATTTTAACCACCTAACTCTTCTAATCCCATTTTTCAGCACTTGGCCCATAGTCTTGTATGTCTTTGCATTGCAAGTGCATGTCTAAATATTTCTTAAATGTTATGAAGGTTTCTGTCTCTACACACTTAAAGGCAGTAAGTTCCAGATTCCCACCACCCTCTGGGTGGAAAGGTTTTTTCTCACATCCCTAAACCTTTTGCCCCTTACTATAAATCCGTGCCTTCTGGTGGCTGATCCCTTCTTCAAGTGGAAATGTTCCTCTTGTGCACCCTCTCTGTGCCCCTCAATTTTAGACATTTCAATCATGTCCCCTCTTCATCTCCTCTGCTCTAAGTTAAACAACCGCAGTCTTTCCAGACTCTCTTCATAACTGAAACCCTCCAGTCCAAGCAACATCCTGGTAAATCTCTTCTGCATCCTCTCCATTTGCACCCTTGTGCCTCCTACAATATGGATTCTAGAGCTGCACACATTACATTAGCTGTGGCCGAACCAGTGTTTTATACTGTTCTAGCATAACCTCCCTGCTCTTAAACTCAGTGCCTCAACTAATAATGGCAAGAATACCATATGCCTTCTTAACCACTTTATCCATTAGCCCTGATATCTTAAGGGACCACAGTGTACATGCAGACCAAGGTCTTTCTGATCCTCAGTACTTCCCAGAATTCTACCATTCATCTATTCCCTTGCCATGTTTATTCTTCCCAAGTGCATCACCTCACATTTATCCGGATTATAATTTTGCCTGATCTCTCTTTTACATGAACAGACTCTGATCTTTAAACACTGCCCATAGTTCTAGATTCTTCCATAAGTGTAAACATGCAATTTACATTGTCTCTGTCAAGATCCGTCAGCATATTATATGGTTCAATCAATTAATTGGTAAAGTGTGTTTCTTCCTTTTTACACCCCATTGCTGACAGTCACTTGGAGGAGTGCCAGGAACACAACCATTGCTGCCCAGTGGGATAGATCCAACGCGGCAGCAAGGTAAGTAATATTCTCAATTCTATAACATTTTTTCAGACAGTTCTTAATAGTGGATAAATGAGGTGCTTTAATATTTGAACACAATTCTAAAATTTTCTGTTGTCTTTTTATTTTCTGAAAATCTGCTCTTATGTGGACAAGACAGTACTAGGCGTTTATAGGAAACATTAATCACAGTATTTACAAAAAGTGTTACCTGTAATTTGTAATATACATAACAAATTACATCTTTTTACAATGCTATTACAATGTTATGGTTGTATAAAGCAAATACAAGCTACAGAAAATGTCACCTAGACAATGCTATTTTAAGCTGAAGCCACTTAAATTTATATTGACTTTAATTGTGTTTAATGTATGTGTATTTGTATGTATATTGTATGTTATATTTATTGCACGTAAAGTGTAATAAACTATTAATTATTTTGATAAGAATATTTAGCGGTTTACTACAGATTTTATTGTTGCAAAATATATGTTCTCATTTATGAAATCCATAAGTCAACTGAAATGTACTAACCTTTCCATAGTCCTTTATGATGTTCTGAAGGAATTGGTAAACCACGGGAGAGATAACTCAGGTTTGTGATATTTTGCCAATCAGGACATCCGACCATGGGTGGACCAATGCAGAGAATGACTCCTCCACGGGGTATGGTTCCCCCCTTAGGACCGCAGGTAATTATTAATTAACTGTATTCATTTTTTTTGCTGTATGTGCCTTTGGAGATGTTACTGTTTGTATATTCATTGGTCATAAATGCAGTATATTCATTCTTAATTGGATATGTTGCATGTAGTTTTAAAAAAAACACTGCCTAAAAAGTAATCCATTCTTTGCTTATAGACCTGAAGCTTTAAGTTTCCATTGAACTTTCAGTATTATTCATGTTAAAAACACAGGCCACTGTCCTAGAGTTTTACTAGGGAAATCATTAACCTACTTTCCTTTCTTTCCCCCTTCCTCTCTGGTTTTCTTTTCTTTATGGTAGTCTGACCCTTGGTTATCATTGCAGAGTTACGGAGGAGGAATGAGGCCCCCGCTGAATGCATTAGGTGGTCCAGGCATGCCTGGAATGAACATGTAAGTAGAGAAACCTCTTACATACTGTATACATTTCCTCTGTCGCCCTTGTTTTTTTTATCAATATGGTCAATATCCTCATGTATACCTGCCATTTTTTTTAATAGTCTTTTCTAACTGCACTTTTGCCTTTAAAGATCCAGACATCAGACCCAGATGTCTTTTTTGTCATCCAGTTTGGAATCATTCAATTCAGGTTGTTCTTTTTTCATGTTTTATTTTCTCAGAATGCACTACTTTAATGTTTTGAGGTGCTTCTGCCACTTATCTTTCAACATCTTCTTACAATCTTCTGCGTTCTATCTCATAGTTTGCCATGCTTATATTTAAATCATTTATATAATGGAAAACAAACAGGTCTCAGCAGAATTCTGTAAAGCACCCCAAAACCTCTGTTTGTTTCTTATACCACTTTAGCCCGAATCTGTTATTGATTAAAAATGAACAGCTGTTGGCCTTGCAAGTGATGCTCACATCCTGTGAAAGAATAAAAATAATCATTAGATAATTAAAGTTACTGATTATTATAGGTGTTCCACATCTGGGGTTGTTTTTGTTAATTTGTCTGCATATTACTTTTCGCAATTTTGTTTTGTTCCCCAGGTAGGCCTCTATGTATATATCTGGAATACCCTAAACCAAGTGTGTCAGCATTCATAGCAAAATGCTTATGTTGTATCTTTTTAAATATTTCTTAAAATCTAAATATATAACATCTGTGTACAAGAATCCTAGTTCAGGGAATTGTGGCACGCTGCTTACACTTATTACCTATTTAAATCAATTTCCTTTTCCTTGATTTATAAAACAACGAAAACTTTGAGCACAAACAACTCTCTTTTGCATCTACATTGGTCTGCCCTGATGAACCTATGCTTTGTCAAGATTTTAACTTCAGACCTTGCATTAACTCATTGCAGAAGGTAAGGATATGACCGCATGCCAAATTAATGGCAAAATTAATGAGCCTTGTCAAGGATATGAGGAAAATGATTACCTCTGAGTTCTGTAGATGAATCTAAGAGTCTAACACACTTCAGAATAAAATTTTCATTGGCAAGGGAAGTATTCCTATCCCGAGTATCACAGAGATGTGATTCAACAATGACACATTTTGGTTAAATATTTAGTGATGTAGATCTGTTTTTAGAAAACACAAACCGAAAAGAGATACAGCATTTTATGTGTGGACTTGAGCCTGAGGGAAAATGGAGATTCTTGTAAAGTATTTCAACTCAATGTTAAAAGAGGAAGGGGTAAATGGGACTGTAGATATATCTGGTAGGTTGTGGTAAAGTCACTGCTATAAATAATATTTAAATGGAAATTGTTAATATGTGACTACACTGTTTGAAGATCTGCTAAAAGAACAAACAATGCAACTGCTGGAAACATATGATACAAATCAGTCACCGTGGATTTAAAGGAGGGAAGTATTGTCAATACAAAATTTGCTGGAGTCCTTTTAAAGGAAAAGAAGAGACTTTCTGATGACTAAATTCTGTGGATGTAGTATTTTTAAATTTTAGCAAGCCCTTTGACACCATACCACACAAGCAAATAGCCCACAAGCCAAAATCTAATCTGACAATCGTGACTTTTTTAAGTGGAATTGACATTGAATGGAATTGACATTTTTATTGCATTTTCCTTTCGAGTATTTACTTTTAGCGATGGTACTGCCTCAATCTCCTCATTCCCATTTTGTCCATCTGCCATATATATATGGAAGCATAGCAATTGCTCAACATCCCCATCTTTCCCTTCTGGTCATTGCACCTTGGAAATAATACAGTGATCTTGGAAAGGGTGCTGAGCACTTCCATCAGAACACTTCCAAGAGTTCACGATTGTGATTATGAGGAGAGATTACATGTATTGGACTGTTCCCTCGAAAGTTAAGGGGTGAGTTGATTGAGGATATTGATAGAAATTGGGGTAGAAATTGATAGGGTAGATAGAACTAATTTATATCTGGACCTGAACTTGAAATAGGGTAGGCCATTCGGGGAGAAGTTAGAACAGACTTCTTCATCCAAAGGGTTGTAAATGTGTGGAAATTTTTTTCACCAAAAGCAATAGATGCTAGCTGAACTAATAGTATTAAATCTGAGATTGATACAATTTTGCTGGACAAAGGAATAAAAGAATAAGGAGTAAAAGCACAGTACTTTGGATGCTGGAAATAAAACACGGTATACTGGAGAAACTCAACAGGTCTGGCAGCATCTATGGAGGGAGAAACATGGTGAATGTTTTGTTTCTGATCTGACTGTAGCTCAATTGCCTGGACTTGAAACATAAACTTTATTTTTCCCTCCCTGATGCATGAGACCTGCTGAATTTCTCCAGCACTCCTTGTTTTTATTATCAATGAGTGTGGAAGCCAAGGCAATTGGATACAGTTAAGATGATTTCAAATCATTGAAGAGTGAGCAGTTTCGAGGAACTGAATGCACTACTGTTGTTCTGTTTTGCCTAATATACATATACAAGATGACCACCTTTTGTTTTAAATTATTCCACCTCTTCTTTGACTATCCTTTTAGTTATTTGATTATAAAAGCTGTTGTCACTTCCCATTAGTACTCCAGCTACCTAATCTTCAGGTAAGAGGGGTGGCCATGGGTACCACATGGGCCCCAGTTATGCCTGTCTCTTCATGGGGTATGTGGAACATTCTTTGTTCCAGTCCTATTCCAGCCCCCGCCCCTACCCACAACTTTCTCGGATTGCCCACCTAATCTTACTCTGCTTCCCCTCAACATCTTTCAAATTGTTGAAGATTCCTGTTATATTATGCACTCTAATTTGATCATTTGTCTCTTTCTAAAACCTCCTCTGTTTTTTATCCATGGAAACCCAGCCTTTGACAAGCACTGTTTACTCTGAGTTTTGAGTTGTGTTATCTGTATCTTTGCCATCACCAATGCTGGTATAATACATGACCTGCCTTTTATTTCAACCTTTTAATCTTGATGATTTCCATAGTTCTTTGTAAAAGCATCCATATGAATTAAATGATAAAACTATGCTGATTGGTGGTATAGTTCAAGAACTGCTTAACGTATGGCACCTGACATTTTGATAATAAAATGTGTAAAAAAAAAACTGATTGCACTTACGTAAGGGAGAGGATTATTGGGAAGTCTTGTTACCACTGAGACAGTAACATTTTGTTTCTCAGTGGCATAAATTGCTTGTTGGTAAAGTGCCAAAGATTATTTTGTTATTTGAATTAACACTCCCATCTGTCACTGTTTCTTGCAGGGGTCCCGGAGGTGGTCGACCATGGCCAAATCCACCAAATGCAAACTCAGTAAGTATATCTTAATGCTTGTATGACTCTTACAGCAAAGAATAAATCTGTTGCCTCTCAGCATTTAAATGGTCACAGGGATGCACAAGCTGAAATATATTCCCCATATAATAAAACACTACTTGCGTAATTACAGTAATTGTTTCTTATAAAAAGAAATTGATGCCTATGGACAAGCACACACATATTGTGATACAAAAATGAATGAATTCTTATTTATGCATGATTTTAATTGCAAAATTCAGTTCTTCCCTTTTTTCTTTTTCCAACGTTCTCCAGATCCTAGAATCTATATGATGATTTGCTTCTTGTAAATTTCCCATTATTTTCAGTCAATTTATGAACAATTCAGAAAGTGAAAATATGAATATTTACTTCAGTTTGTGTAACGAAAGTGTTTTGCAGGACAGCACACCCTCCTTGCTGTCTTCCTACTTTTAGTGTTTCTCAACATAATTCATGTAATTATGCTGAGCAAGATGCAAAGTAAGAACTGATGACTTTGCAAAAGCATGAATTTGTTTCCATTGTTTGATTACGTGAGCAGACCAAAAAGAAAATTCCCAAGTACGTATGAAGTATTCTGTGGTTGTTTAGCTCAGCTGTTCTCGATTTTAGTGTGTAGTTCAGAGTAACACCAACAGCATGGGTTCAGTTACATTTCAGGTTGAGATAGACCTGGGACTTCCCTCCTAGACCTGTCCTGAAGCATGGAAAGCAACAGCAAACCAGCACTTTTCTTCTGAGCCAAGAAGAAAGCTCAGAATGAATGTCAGCAGCCAAAGACCTGCTTTTGGGTGGAGCATCCATGATATTGTGTATATATGAATAAACACACAATTAAACATAAATATTGTTGGTATCTAATTGTCAAGCTTTTCCCATTGTTAACCTTTATAATCACAATATGTTCAGCTTAACATCAGGACCTTGGTGTACAGCATCCATATCACCACTAATATTTCCCTTGAGCTGTGGCTTCACAGTCGAAATCTACTTGCAGACATAAGTTTGTATAAAACATCACTTTGCTTATTTCAATAATGAAGAATGACAGTTGTGCTGAAAATTAAATTTGCAATTAAAACCAATAGAGAGCGAGCAAGTATTCAAGTAATTTATCTGTGACAATTCAAGTAAGAGTAAAGTAATCTTAATAATTGCAAATTACTTGTTCACAATTTCTTTCTGTCAAAATTGTAAAAGGAGAAAAGATGAATTTACAGTTTTTTTGTTATAGATACCATATTCATCAGCATCACCTGGCAATTATGTGGTGAGTAATATTTTGTTGTTTTTGTTTCTGTAGGCTGTGCTGTTTATGTTCCAGGTGTGTGAATGGTTGGCCAGATGTTAACAGCAGCACCAAGTGTTTTGGCTGAGAAATGAACACCTGATTTTTGTTGTTTTGTCTGGCATTCATACTGCATATGTTGATGTTCATTAGTAAATCAGTCTGGTCAAAATTGCTCTGAGATCTGTTATATATCAGCATATGGTGCTGTGGCAAATTGTCTTTGATAATAAGGAAGAAAACACAACACATTACTGGCAGTAGGCTTTTGCATATTTAAATTTGAGTGAAATTGAAAATGCTTGAATAGAAGAATGTTGATTTTCTGATAATATTTGTATAGTAACTTATTTTCTGTGTGAATTGTCAGTTAACAGTACAGCATCCGGTTTGGATATCAAAATCCATATCCTGTGGTGAGAAAACTCTTAAACACAACTCCGTCAATTTGAACTCGAGTTGTTATACAGTAGAATATCATCTCATGGCGAGTTTTGTCAATTGTTTAATCTATGTCCGGGACTAAAAATGAAGTGTTCAGCTTATGAGAGGAAAAGAGCTTCTAAACTGATCCATTTGAATCATTTGTCCTGATAACCAGCTAGAGAACAAACGAGTAGAGTGTAGCTCAAACAATGCAGTATTTCTTAATAAACAGGCAACGTGTTGTAATACTGTTTTCAGGGAAAGAAAAGAAGCACCAACTTGTTGTTTTCCCTTTAAATAATCCTTGGTGGCTTGTTTTTTTGAAAAAAACAAACTAGATTGTGTTAGATCTAAGGAAGAGACATACAAATTGGTCAGAAAAAAAGCAGACCTGGAGGGACTAAAGGCAATATCTCCAAATTTGCAGATAACTCAAGGTTGGGTGGGAGGCTGAGCTGTGAAGAGGATGCAGAGATGCTTTGGTATGATATGGGCAAAATGAGTGTGTGCAAATGCATGGCAGATGCATTAAAATGTGGATAAATGTGAAGGTTATCTACACTGGGAGCAAAAACAGGTGCAGAGTATTATCTGAATGATTTTAAATTGAGAGAGGGGAATGTGCAATGAGACCTGAGTGTCCTTGAATACAAGTCACTGAAGGTAACCATGCAGGTGCAACAGACAATCAAGAGGCAATGAAAACATGTTTCCATGTTTTGGCCTTCATAATGAGAGGATACGGGTGCAGGAACAGGGATGTCTTGCTGCAATTATACAGAGCCTTGGTGAGGCCTCATCGGGAATATTGTGTACAGGCTTGATCTCCTTATCTGATGCAGGATTTTCTTGCTATAGAATGAGTGCAGTGAAGGTTTACCAAACTGATTCCTGGTATATTATTAGAAGTTGAAGCAGTTCGGATTGTAGTTGCTGGAGTTCAGGAGGATGGGGGTGATGAAGATCTCGTAGAAACCTATAAACCTGTAACAGAACAAGAGTGGGTAGATGCAGGATTGATGTTCCTGATCATGGGGGATTCCAGAATCAGGGGTCACAGTTTAAGAATACGGTGTAAACCATTTTGAACTGAGATGAGGAGAAATTTCTTCACCCAGAGAGTGGTGAGACCACTGAAGGAAGTTGAGTCAAAGCATTGTATGATTTCAAGAAGGAGTTTGATATAGCATTTTGGGCTAAAGGGATCAAAGGATATGGGGTTAAAATTGTTCCAGAGATAGTAGGAACTGCAGATGCTGGAGAATCTGAGATAACAAAGTGTGGAACTGGACGAACACAGTAGGCCAAGCAGCATCAGAGGAGCAGGAAGGCTGACGTTTTGGGCCGAGCCCCTTCTTCAGAAATGGGGGAGGGGAAGGGGGTTCTGCAATAAATAGGGAGAGAGGGGGAGGCAGATAGAAGATGGATAGAGGAGAAGATAGGTGGAGAGGAGACAGACAGGTCAAAGAGGCGGGGTTGGAGCCAGTAAAGGTGAGTGTAGGTGGGGAGTTAGGGAGGAGATAGGTCAGTCCAGGGAGGACGGACAGGTCAAGGTGGCGGGTTGAGGTTAGTAGGTAGGAGGTGGGAGGAGGGGATAGGTGGGAGGAAGGACAGGTTAGGGAGGGGGGGACAAGCTGGGCTGGTATTGGGATGCGGTAGGGGGAGGGGAGATTTTGAAGCTTGTGAAGTCCACATTGATACCATTGGGCTGCAGGGTTCCCAAGCGGAATATGAGGTGCTGTTCCTGCAACCTTCGGGTGGCATCGTTGTGACACTGCAGGAGGCCCAGGATGAACATGTCGTCTGAGGAATGGGAGGGGGAGTTGAAATGGTTCGCGACTGGGAGGTGCAGTTGTTTAGTGCGAACCCAGCGTAATTGTTCTGCAAAGCGGCCCCCAAGCCTCCGCTTGGTTTCCCCGATGTAGAGGAGGCCACAACGGGAACAGCGGATATAGTATACCACATTTAGTAGATGTGCAGGTGAACATCTGCTCGATGTGGAAAGTCTTCTTGGGGCCTGGGATGGGGGTGAGGTGGGAGGTGTAGGGGCAGGTGTAGCACTTCCTGCGGTTGCAGGGAAAAGTGCCGGGTGTGGTGGTGCTGGAGGGGAGTGTGGAGCGGACAAGGGAGTCCCAGAGAGAGTGGTCTCTCCGGAAAGCAGATAAGGGTGGGGAGGGAAAAATGTCTTTGGTGGTGGGGTCAGATTGCAGATGGCGGAAGAGTCGGAGGATGATGTGTTGGATCCGGAGGTTGGTGGGGTGGTACGTGAGGACGAGGGGGATTCTGTTTTGGTTGTTATTGCGGGGACGGGGTGTGAGGGATGAGTTGCAGGAAATGTGGGAGACTCAGTCGAGGGTGGTCACCACCACTGAGGGGGGGACGTTACAGTCCTTGAAAAACGAGGACATCTGAGATGTACAGGAGTGGAATGCCTCATCCTGAGAGCAGATGCGGCGGAGGTGAAGGAATTGATGTCCTCGTTTTTCAAGGACCGCAACATCCCCCCCTCAGTGGTCAAGAACGCCCTCGACCGTGTCTCCCGCATTTCCTGCAACTCATCCCTCACACCCCCTCCCCGCAATAATAACCAAAACAGAATCCCCTCGTCCTCATGTACCACCCCACCAACCTCAGGATCCAACGCATCATCCTCCGACCCTTTCGCCATCTGCAATCCGACCCCACCACCAAAGACATTTTTCCCTCCCCACCCTTATCTGCCTTCCGGAGGGACCACTCTCTCCGTGACTCCCTTGTCCGCTCCACACTCCCCTCCAGCCCCACCACACCCGGCACTTTTCCCTGCTACACCTGCCCCTACACCTCCCCCCTCTCCCCCATCCCAGGCCCCAAGAAGACTTTCCACATCGAGCAGATGTTCACCTGCATATCTGCTAATGTGGTATACTGTCTCCGCTGTTCCCGTTGTGGCCTCCTCTACATCGGGGAAACCAAGCGGAGGCTTGGGGACCGCTTTGCAGAACACTTAAACGCTGGGTTCGCACTAAACAACTGCACCTCCCAGTCGCAAACCATTTCAACTCCCCCTCCCATTCCTCAGACGACATGTCCATCCTGGGCCTCCTGAAGTGCCACAACGATGCCACCCGAAGGTTGCAGGAACAGCACCTCCTATTCCGCTTGGGAACCCTGCAGCCCAATGGTATCAATGTGGACTTCACAAGCTTCAAAATCTCCCCTCCCCCTACCGCATCCCAAAACCAGCCCAGCTTGTCCCTGCCTCCCTAACCTTCCCTTCCTCCCACCTATCCCCTCCTCCCACCTCAAGCCCCACCCCCAGCTCCTACCTACTAACCTCATCCCGCCCCCTTGACCTGTCCGTCCTCCCTGGACTGACCTGTCTCTTCCCTACCTCCCCACCTACACTCACCTTTACTGGCTCCATCCCCGCCTCTTTGACCTGTCTGTCTCCTCTCCACCTATCTTCTCCTCTATCCATCTTCTATCCGCCTTCCCCTCTCTCCCTATTTATTTCAGAACCCCCTTCCCCTCCCCCATTTCTGAAGAAGGGTCTAGGACCGAAACGTCAGCCTTCCTGCTTCTCTGATGCTGCTTGGCCTGCTGTGTTCATCCAGCTCTGCACCTTGTTATCAAAGGATATGGGGAAATGTGGGAACTGATTATTGAGTTGGATGATGAGCCACGATCAAAATGAATATAGAAGTTGGCACCAAGGGCTGTATGGCCTACTTCTGCTCCTATTTTCTATGTTTCTATGTTTTACCTGTTCAAGCTCCCTGTATGATTAAAATGTCCTGAAAATATGACAGTGTACCTGGTCGTCTTTGACAGTTTACAAGCCAGTTAAAATTTGTCTTCACCATGAAAAGTTATAGTATTGAAGGGGGCTTTCAGACTATTAACTCTGTACTCTGTAAACAATCCAACTCTGATCCCACTGTCTTTCTATTTTCCTATAACCCTGCCTTGTTCTCTACATTGAAGATTTGTATGATTTTCCTTTCAAAGTCACAGTGGTCGCTTTTCAGTTGCTTCTTGCAACAAATTGCTCCATTCTCCTACAATTCAGCTTAAAAAAGGTGTGTGTTTGAACAATTCCTTTTATGACTACAAGACACCCTGAACTGTTTTACAGCCATTTTAAGTACTTCGGGAGCATATTAGCTGTTATAATATTGGAAATACAGCAGTCCGTTTCTTCGGAACAAAATCCCACAATAGCCATGTGAAAATGACCAGATAAACTACCTTTGTAATGTTGATTTGAGAGATAAGCATTGACGATAACTGGATAGCTGCCCTCTCATCTCTGTAATAGTGCCCTAGGATGTCTTCACATCCCGAGACAGCAGAAGGGGCCCTCATTTAATGTCTCATCCAGTCAACAGCACCTCCAACAATCCAGTACTCAATCGGTACTAAAATGGTGTGTCAGTCTTGATTTTTATACTCAAGTCCTATGCATAAAGATCTCTTAGATTCGGTCTCACTTTTTATTACCGTTTTCAATTGATTGTTAACTATTTAACAATAGAAAATTTTTGTTCACTCTGTCAAATCAGCAGAATTTTAAA